ATGAATGCTTTAATTTATCTACATTAACAACAGAATCAGAGAGTAAAACTTCTAAATCAGTATAGGAAAAAATAATTAAAATAAAATTAATAAAACTTTAAAAAGGAAAGAATGGGTTAAAAAAACACATGTAGAACATATGAAAAGAACCCAAGTTAAGCTAGTTTAAGTCCATCACAGAGCTTACATGCTAGTGGAGGAAACATACAACTAACAGGTGAAATAAATAAATGTCATTTCAATACATGCTATGAATAAAAATAAAATAGGGTAAAGCATTAGGAGGAGACTTTTTTAGATAAGGGAAGATCTGAGAGAAAGGGGGAGAAGAAGCAAGACTTCCAGACTCTTTACCTTAGGCAGGAAGAGAGGTTGAGAAGAGAAGAGAAGCCATAAAGGAGACTGAGAAGAGGCAGCCAGTGAGGCAGGCAGAGGTGTGTGGTCCAGTGAGGAACTGTTTCAACAAGCAGGGCATGATCAACTGTGAAACTAAGATTGCCTGGTTACTTTACTACACATCTTTCCCAGACTTGAGGAACACAGCCAACAGCAGGCTCAGTATTGATAAGAGTAATCATAGAGTGCATAAACTACAAAGCCAGCTGCTAACTGCGTGAACTTTGAACCCAGACTACATGAAATTGAATCCTGGAACATGTTTTCTGTTCATGTCTTCCACTCACAAATTTAATGCCTTCTCCATCTTAACTAAGCCCTTTCACTGTGGCGGTAACTTTTGCAGTCTGAGGTGCAACAGCAAAACTTGCACGAATTTTTCTTCTTCACAGTTTCATGATAGCAGATTCATTCTTACTGTAGAGCTTAGCAACCTCAACATAAGATTTTTTTTCATTCTTTAGTAAGTAAAAAACTTTCACCTTTTCACTTAGCAGTGGTTCTCAACCTTCTGGCCCTTTAAATACAGTTCCTCATGTTGTGACCCAACCATAAAATTATTTTCATTGCTACTTCATAACTGTAATGTTGCTACTGTTATGAATCGTAATGTAAATATCTGATATGCAGGATGGTCTTAGGTGACCCCTGTGAAAGGGTCGTTCGACCGCCAAAGGGGTCGCGACCCACAGGTTGAGAACAGCTGACTTAAAGGAAGCACTTTACAGCTTCTCTTTGGCATATCCCTACTCTTGGGCTTTGGAGCCATCAGTAAGTAAAATAAAGATTACTTGTGCTCGGCTAGTGTTGCTCAGTGGTTGAGCATCGACCTATGAACTAGGAGGTCATAGTTCGATTCCCGGTCAGGGCACATGCCTGGGTTGTGGGCTCGATCCCCAGGAGGTAGCTGATCAATGATTCTCTCTCATCATTGCTGTTTCTATCCCTCTCTCCCTCTCCCTTTCTCTCTGAAATCAATAAAAATATATATTTTTTTAAAAAGGTTACTTGAACACAAGCATTGTGATACCACAACAATCTCTCTGATAACCAAGATGGCTACTAAGTGACTACCAGGCAGTGAGCATATACAGCATGGATACACTGGACAAGAGGATGATTCAAGACAGGGGCAGGATGGTGCATAACAGCATGAGATAGCATCATGCTACTTAGAATGGTGTTTAATTCCAAACGTACGAATTGTTTATCTCTGGAATTTTCCATTTAATATTTTCAGACCACGTTGACATGGGTAACTGAAACAGCTGAAGGCTAAATCACAGATAAGACAGGACTAACTATAATGGCAGAGGTAGGAAGAATAACTTTGTAATGATGTGCATTCTCAACAGGTTCCAGTTGACACTAGACTTATGTAATTGAATTAATTAACATGACTGATAGAATAAGTATATTCTGATTTAAAAAAAAGCATGAAATTGACAATGGGTAGGATATAGTTAGTTCTTATTTGTCATAAGGAATGTCTTATTAAATACTGACTGATTCAGAACTCTATCCTGTTACTCCTTTCCCGTTGGATTAAGCTCTTTTCAATTTAAAATAATCTCAAATGAAAAGTAACAATAAGTAAACACTTTCTGTATCCATATTTTCTGTAACGGAAGAAATAGCAGAATATTTTCTTGGTGCTAGGTATCATAAAGAGCCAAACAAATAATTTTTATGTAATACACTGAAGTAGGTGCTTTGAAAGGTTCATAAAACTATATGACATTAATGTGAAAGATAAAGTTCATATATATGGGACAATTACACAATTATGAGTATATTGGTAATGAATTTTATAGTGTTATAAGAGATAAGATAATGCAGAGTTCACTACTGGCTCTAAAGATATTTCATGAATGAAGTGTGATTTTTATCTGGATGTGGGTAATATTACAATCATTATAAGATATGCAAGGACTCAAATGATTTCTCTCACCTGTGAACTTCCTTAGAAAGATTCTAGAGAAAGTACTTCAGCAAAATGGGACGTAAACTAAGAGCAAGATACTAGATCAGCCGTGGGCAAACTACAGCCCGTCGGCCCGTTTGAAATGAATAAAACTAAAAAAAAAAAAAGACCATACCCTTTTATGTAATGATGTTTACTTTAATTTATATTAGTTCACACAAACACTCCATCCATGCTTTTGTTCCGGCCCTCCGGTCCAGTTTAAGAACCCATTGTGGCCCTCGAGTCAAAAAGTTTGCCCACCCCTGTACTAGATCCATAAAACCAGGGCTCCAATATAAATGTGGGGCAAGTCCCAGGAAGTCTCAGGATGATAGCTATTCAACAGGACTACAGGGTCACCTCCACACATTAGAGCAACAGAATAGAGGAGTAAGAGAAGGGAAATAGAACTAATAAGAGGATTTTATGTATTTTAGTTTCATTTGCTGTGATAGATGTTTAAGGTATTGGATCCACTGAAGCATTTGATAAAAACATGCAACAGGTGAATTAAACACAGCACCACTAACAAAGACAAATAGAAAACAAAATAATTAACTTGAGGGGAACAGGTGAAAAAATATAATCACATCACATTATTTGTCTCAGCAGTGCATGATACTTACACAGTCTCCATAAAGTAAATACTAACTGCTGGCTTATCCAAAAATTGCTTCAAAACTATTGGAAGAATGGGGTGGAGAAGGGGATGATAGACTGATTCTCAACAACCCTAATTCAGAAGATAATTTCTATGCCATTAAACTTTGCAGGCTAGAAGAGAGTAGCAAGAAATATTCAGTGATAAAAAGCAAGGACCTACAACCTAGATTACTCTACCCAGCAAAGCTATCATTTAGAATTGAAGGTCAGATAAAGAGCTTCACGGATAAAAGCTAAAGGAGTTCATCACCACCAAATCAGTATTATATGAAATGTTAAAGGGTCTTCTTTAAGAAGAAGGAGGAGGAGGAGGGGGGAAAAGGATTAAAAATATGAATGAAATGGCAATAAATACATATCTATCAACAATTGAATCTAATAATCAGAAGAAAGGAACAAGGAACCTAATGAACTGATGAATAAAATGGAACCAGAGGCATGGAAACATGAAACAGATTGACAATCTCAGAGGGAAGGCGGAAGGGGAGGCAGGAAGAGATTAACCAAAGAACTTTTAGGCATATATGTATTACCTATATGCACAGACAATAGGATGGCGAAGACCTGGTGTGGGGTGGAACCTGGATGGAGAGGGGCAATGGGGGGGCGATAGCTCAACAATAAAGATTTCTAAAAACCCCAAAAAACAAACAACAAAAAAAGAGATAGCAAAATATAAATTATAAATAGGGAGGTAAATTCCAGTAGAATGCCCGCAAAAGTTGAAGGGTTGCCTCTGAAAAGTGAGGTTGAGGGAGGGTATTTGTGGAGAGGGGTGGGCAGGAATGGATGGTTTTCATCGTAGGCCTTTGTAAAAGCATTATATGGAAAAAATCCTTGGACTAAAAATTAAAGGAGTAAATAGGAACATCAAAAGACTTTGAGAAGTGATCATATACAGGAGCCCAATGGAATAAACAATGAGATCTCTGTCATTCATTCATACAACAAATATTTATCCAGCACCGTCCTCCTGAGCTAGCCACTAAGCTAGGCCTACAATGGTGAATGAAGACATGTGTGGTCCCAGCACTCATAAAGCTTATGTCTACTACAGCAAATAGTAAACAGGAAAATCCTATATAATAAAAGGCTAGTATGCAAATAGACCGAATGGTGGAACAACTGAACACTATGACATGCGCTGACCACCAGGGGGCATGTGTGGAACATGGCGGGCATTGGCTGTGGTGGGATGGTGGAGCAGGTGAGTGGGGGGTGGGAGGGCACACCAAGGTGGGGCGCTGGTCACCGTCATCGGGGCAAGCCTCTGGTGGTTACTGAAAATTCTTTGCTCCAGTGCATCTCGGTCCCACCCAGTGCTCTCACCTGCTGCCAGTGCTAGCCCCGCTTGTATCTGCTGCTGGCACTGGAGCCATCACTTGCACCTGCTACCGGTGCCTGGTGCCTGGCACCGGCCCCAATTGCTCCTCAGGGCTTCTCTACCTCCCCCTGCTCCTGAGGGGCGATTGGGGCCAGCAGCCACCTCTTCCAATCGCTGCCACCAGAGCCGCTGCTCACACTCACTGCCGGCACCCGGTGCCAGTCCCTATCACTCAGCACCGTGAGTGGGTGCGAGTGGCGGCTGCCGGCCCCAATTGCCCAAGGGCTTCTCCACCTTCGATCGGGGCAGCAGCTGCAGCTTGCACCTGCTGCTGGCGCTGGCCCCAATCATTCCGTGCCATCAGTGGGTGTGAGTGGGGCCAGCACCTTCAAGGTGTGGGAGCAGTGGTGGCGGGAGTGGGGCTGCCAGCAGACGGGGAACTGGGGCCATGGTGGGAGGGTCCAGGCGGGGGTGCAGAGGATGGGCCGAGACCCCACCCCTGTGCCTACCGCAGCCACCTCGAGGCCCACAGTTCAAGGTACACGAATTCATGCACTGGGCCCCTAGTAAATATATAAAAGAAGTACAGATTGCAGTAAAAAGAGGTATGTTTAGAACAAAAAACTAATTACTGTGATAGAAAACGGTGATATGGAGAAGAATGGGCAGCTATTCCAGCTGGTAAGTTTGTCAGGCAAAGCCTTTTTGAGATGATTTGAGACTTGAAACACATGAAGCTCAGACTATGGATGGATGCATATGGATTCCCAAGCAGGAAAGTCTGGTGCATCTACAGTGATGGCAAACCTATGACACGTGTGTCAGAGGTGACACGTGAGCTCATTTTTTTGGTTGATTTTTCTTTGTTAAATGGCATTTAAATATATAAAATAAATATCAAAAATATGTCTTTGTCTTATTATGGTTGCAAATATCAAAACATTTCTATATGTGACACGGCACCAGAGTTAAATTAGGGTTTTTCAAAATGCTGACACACCGAGCTCAAAAGGTTCGCTATCACTGGTCTAGAAACTGTTCAAAAGCCAGGTGGCCTGAGCACCACCACAGGTGAGCGGGATGATGTCTCTGGATGAGGCCGAAGCAGCATGGCCCAGGTCATATTGCTGCAGGTATACATCTGGGGAGTCCGTAGGGTAGAGGCAATATTTAAAGCCACGTGAAGAGAGAGCACACAGTCTAACCCATAACCTCACCCAGAGGAATGCCAACGTTTAGAAGGAGCCTGCAAAGGTGGGGACCACCATTAAGGAAAGGCACACTAAGGAAATCTCAAACCCTCCCCAACAAGGCTCTAACATTGTTGCCACTTTTCTAAAATTGCTCCTGCCGGGTCACTATAATTTGTGTTTATTTTGACGAAGTGCATTACAACTCGGTATTCAGATTTCTGCGCTGGTTCCGGAGATAACTGGAGATATCTGTTACCGAGAAAAATCAATTTACTATTATACAGAAAGCGATTTGCTCATTCCCACTGTAAGTTACCCCAGGTGGCCCAGATCTCTGGATCACAGCCACGGGTGGGGGCTGGGGGAGGGCGCTCCGTGCAGCTGTGGGCTCATCAGGTCGGTTTGTGGATTCCAACCGACTTTCCTTGCGGCGATCCTTAAGCCTCTGCCCCGACCCCCTCTAAGAGTAACAATACCCCTGCGCACTCGGCGCAGTGAGGGAATCGAACACCCTCCTTTCCGCACCGCCTGGGGCGCGGTACTGAGCGCAGAGGCTCGCACCCGCCACGTGAGGCGGCTCCGCGGCTTTCGCGGCCCCTGAGGTTAGTACCTGGGAAGTCATGGCCTCGGGCGGCGCCGCCCCAGGTGAGTCAACAGCCGGGCAGGGGACTCCAGGATAGTCTCAGAAAAAGGGGGCCGGGAAAAACCCCACACAAAATAAACAAACAAACAAACAAACAAACAAACCAAACAAAAGAAAAAAACATGAGACTAGGAGGGAGACGGAGGCAGCCGGATTCCGGACACAGTGAGCGCCACGTTCCCAAGGCCCAGGCCGGGCCGATAGCGGCGACGCACCACCTCCGAGCGCCCCTCGCCGTTACTGCTTCCGAGTCACTTCCCCGACGGCCCT